TCCCTTGCCAACCCCTCCTCTGGCCCGGTAGTCGCTCGCAGTTCCACCACCCTTCCCTGTCCGGCGGTTCCTTCGGGCTCTCTTACAGGCCTGCACATCCCCTCGTTCTCCAGGAACCTAGTTGGTCTCGGCTGCCTCCAGGACCTTGGCGTCATCACTACATTCCCTGGTCACGAGCGGTACGCTGTCTCTACCGAGGCCACCACTGGTGCCCCCCTCACCACGTTCCCTCGGGACCCGGTGTCTGGCCTGTTCACATTGGACACTACGACCCCCCTGGTAGGGACGTCTTCTCAGGTGGCTGCGTCTACCTAGGTTGGCTTGCTCCTGTCGGTCGCTCACTCACCCGACACTCCTGTGGCACCACCGTCTAGGTCACCCCGCCCTCCAGCGCCTGCGTCACATGTCACAGCACGGTCTTGTCCTAGGTCTCCCAGGGTCGTTCCCCGATTTGCCCTCCTCCCCAGCACCACCGTGAACGCCGCGTGTCGAGGGCCGGCTCCGCCGTGCCCCTCACTCCTCCTCATTTCCCCCCACCGCCGCACCGCTACAGACCCTGCACATGGATGTCTGGGGCCCCACCCCCGTCCATGGGCCGCGTCGAGAGCGCTACTTCCTAGTGCTTGTCGACGACTACACGCGCTACACCACCGTGTTCCCCCTGGAGTGGAAGGCCGACGTGCCTGACGTCCTCATCCCGTGGCTTGTCTCTGCGCGTGTCCACCACGATCTCCCTATCTTGCGTCTCCACTCCGACTGTGCTGGCGAGTTTGTGTTTGGTGTCCTTGGTCGTTTCTGTCGTGCGGAGGGCATCACCCAGACGTTCACCCTACCGTACTCCCCGCATAATGGGGTCGCTGAGCGACGCATCGGCTTTGTCATGGAGGTGGCCCGTACCTCCATGATCCATGCCCATGCACCCCATTTTCTGTGGCCGTTCGCTCTTCACTACGCCGCTCACCAGCTTAACCTGTGGCCGCACCCCCAGCAGCCGCAGGTTTCGCCGACCCTTCTTTGGTCCGGGTCTCCTGGTGACGCCTCTGCGTTTCATGTCTGGGGCTGCCTTGCTCACGTTCGTGCCTCTCGCACGGACAAGCTCACTGTCCGCACCCTCCCTAGTGTCTTCCTCGGTTTCCGACGTGCACCCCATTTTCTGTGGCCGTTCGCTCTTCACTACGCCGCTCACCAGCTTAACCTGTGGCCGCACCCCCAGCAGCCGCAGGTTTCGCCGACCCTTCTTTGGTTCGGGTCTCCTGGTGACGCCTCTGCGTTTCATGTCTGGGGCTGCCTTGCTCACGTTCGTGCCTCTCGCACGGACAAGCTCACTGTCCGCACCCTCCCTAGTCGTCCGACTAGCACTTCTACCAACCGCCGTCTCACCGGTTCTTTCACTCCCGTGACGTCACCTTTGACGAGTCCGTCTCCTTCTACCGCTGCTTCCCCCACAGAGGTCCCCCGGTTACTCCCCCCCTGTTCATGGTCACCCCTTCCCTGGTCACCCCTGGCCCCCCCCCCACCCCCTCCCCGTCCTGCACCGTCTGGTGTGTCTCACGTCACTCCCCTCCCGTCGGTTGTCCCGGTCGAGGAGTCTGCTGACTCTGGTGGCCCTGCAGCGCAGTCCTCATCGCCTTCCCCTTCCCAGGCATCGCCTCCTCTGCCGCCTTTGCAGTCGCCGTCGCCGCCCCTGTAGCAGCCGTCGTCACCGCCGCCGCCGCAGACATCGCCGCAGCCGACGCAGCAGCAGCTCGTTGACTCTGGGGGTGCAGGCGCTGGGGTGGGTACTAGTCATGGGGTTCCTGTCGTGGCTTGTCCCGGTGGGCCTGGGGGTGGTACCGGTGTTCGCGGGGTTTCAGGCCCTAGGGGTGCTGCAGTGGAGTGTTCCGGAGGTAGACGTGGAGCAGCTTGCCGTCCCAGTGTCGGTGTTGTGCCGCCGCAGCAGTAGTCACCGCCGGTGTCAGCCCTTCGCCTGCTCGGCCTCCCATCCCCTTACCACGTGTCTGGGCCTCCCTTGCCGTCTCCTCCCCTTCCTGTCTACAGCCCTGTGTTCCCTCCCCCGGACTCGTCTCTGGCTCGTCTTCCTCCTCGTTCCCCTCCTGTGTCCCCTCCTTTGTCTCCTGACCTGACGCCTCCATTTCACGTCTGGTCTCGCCGTCCCTCCCGTGCTCGCCCCGTCTCCGCTGTCCCGTGCTCTCACCCTATATGTTGCTTTGTTCCCACGCGTCTCGTCCTACCCTCCTACCGTCGCCGCCTCCGTCCTCTCTTGTTGTTGCACCTCCCCCCCTGTTTGACTACCTTTTCACCGCTCGTCCCCTTGTTCCTCGGGTCCTTGCCTCTCTCGTTACCGACACGTCTGTTCCGGTCTCGTGTCTCGACGCTCTTGTCGCTGCGGTAGCTGACTTCGCCTCTACCCGCCGCCTTGACTACGCCACCACTCTGGTCTCTGACCCTGCCTGAGCTCCGTCTGTCGGGGGTGCTCCTGCCCTCGGCAGTGACGTCCTGGAGGACCGCCAGTACGAGCTTGTTTTCCTTTCCGAGGCTGCTCCCCATCTCTGTTCCATGCTGTTAGTCCCAGAGGGTGACCCAGACGCTTTTGACATCCCGACCCTTCGCACTTACGCTGAGGCGACCTCGGGACCTTGGGCCTCTCAGTGGATAGCTGCAATGGAGCAGGAGATGGCATCTTGGAGATCCACCGGCACCTATGTCGACGCAGTTCCTCCACCTGGGGTGAACGTAGGCGATGGCCGCTACTCTTCAAGGTGAAGCGCCCTCCTGGAGAGCCGCCTGTGTTCAAGGCGCGCTACGTGGCTAGAGGCTTTGGTCAGCGTGAGGGGGTTGGACTTCTTTCACATTTTCGCCCTGACGCCAAAAATGACTACTCTTCGGGCACTGCTACACGTAGCAGCATGGCGTGACTATGAATTACACTCCCTCGAATTTTCCATTGCGTTTCTTCAGGGCAGTCTACACGAGCATGTCTACCTGCGCCACCCTCAGGGTTTCACTGGTACCTTCCCTCCTGGGACTTAGTGGCTTCTGCAGCGCCCAGTCTACGACTTGCATCAGGCTCCCCGCGAGTAGCACGATACCCTGCGTGCTACTCTTGCAGACCTGCAGTTCTTTCCGTCTTCCGCAAACCCCTCGCTCGTTGTTCGTTCTGGCCAGACTCCGTTCTACATCCTTGTTTACGTAGACGATCTGGTCTTTGGCACTGCAGACACCACCACGCTAGCCTTTGTAAAGGCTGAGCTGCTGAGGAGACACACCTGCACTGACCTAGGAGAGCTGCGCCACTACCTGGGCCTGCAGATCTCCAGAGACAGCAGCGCGCACCATCACTCTCACCCAGTCACACTTGGTGCGCCAGGTCCTTCAGAGGTTCGGTCATCAGTTCTCCTCCGCACAGCCCACACCTCTTCCAGTAGATCACAGGCTCTCTACTCCAGTTCCCGAGGAGTCTGCAGAGCCCAGTGGTCCTTATGCACAGCTGGTGGGTTGCCTCATGTACCTGATGACTTGCACTCGTCCAGATCTCGCATACCCTCTCAGCATCCTGGCTCGCTTTGTGGCCACAGGCAGACACCGACCTCAGCACTGGTCTGCCGCTAAGAGGATTTTGCGTTATCTCGCAAGTACATCGGGCATGGGGTTAGTGCTGGGAGGACGCAGGCCAGTGGTCCTTACTGGGCACACGGACGCTTCTTGGGCAGACGATGCCGAGACCCTCATGTCCTTGTAGGGCTACTGCTTTAGCCTTGGTTCAGGTGCTGTCTCGTGGAGAGCTACTCGCTCCTTGTCTGTTGCCCAGTCCAGATGTGAGGCCGAGATCTACGCCGGTGCCATGGCGGCACAGGAGCTCCGCTGGCTGACCTTCTTGCTTACTGACTTAGGTGAGCGGCCTAGCTCTGCGCCAGTCCTGTACGCTGACAATAGGGCCATGATCCTCCTGTGTCAGGAGCCTTGACTTGAGGGCAGAGCAAAGCACATCCAGCTGCGGTACTTCCTCCTGCGCGAGCTGCAGCAGCGTCGCCGAGCTCGCGTAGTACACTTGACCTCCGGTGCCAACACAGCTGATATCTTTACGAAGGCCCTTGCGCCTAAAGATCATCAGCGGCACTGTGTACAGCTAGGCCTTGTTCCAGTTACCTCTCGCCTGCTAGGGCCTTGACTATGTACTGACCTTTATATATATTTTTGTTGATTCTTGACGGGCCTTGTGGCCTCCCCCTGTGGCTGGACTAATAGTGCCGCCCTGGCCTTGCCCTTGTACTGGTCTGTACTTGTTTGACTGGTCTTTAGACCCTTGACTCAGAGGTTGGACTAGTAGTGCCGCCCTGAGTTGTCGTTTTTCTCATCAGGAATTGCACGACTGAGTGGATGCGCTGAGGGAGCACTGTGTTGCGCTGTCTGTTGTGTGTTTGGCGCTGCGCTTGCTCTTGGGAGTGTGCAGACATTTGCTCTAGGGAGCGTGTGTAACCTGTGTTGTTGCTCGGTTGTGTTGAGTGCTGCGTCACTAGTTGTGTAAGTGCTGATGTGTCATTTCGGGTTTTTGAGGGTTGGTTTGAGTGTTTCGGTGTTCACGGACTGTTTGTTGTGTGTGTTGGACACTTTTTAATGACACTGGTTTTGAAATCCTATGTGTCACCCGGTAACAGTGACTGTTGCAGCACCGGACAAGGCACCCTTCTATGAACAGAACATACCAGACAAGTCACTCCGCCCCCCATATTCACTCGTTAGTCCATTTTGCCCCTACCGTACGGGCCCTATTAGACTAAGTCGGTATTCGAGAGTCGCAGATTTGGAGCATAGAGCATACTCGCTGTACGTTGAAGTCAGTGGACGGACGAACAGTTCATGAAATAATGACATGTACGGAGGCACAACCCACCTCTTAATTCGCGCTAGTGTTTTCTTCCGGACTTCCCACAGCAGTCATATCACCAGCACCAACCGTTCCTTCATATTTGTTTTAGAAAGTATTATGTCAAGGTTAGACGATAGGTAAGATATTAGTAGGAAGAGAACATCATTACATAAGTGGGGCAAAAAACACTTTATTCCGCTTATTCATGAATAGGCGTTTCCATCCTCTAGGGAGCCTCCCTAGCAGACCTGGCGGTTCACCATCAGCTTTGGAAAATGACGTGAAAATTGCCCTCTAACCGCGCCCTCGGGGAAGGCCTCTGTGTTCACAGTGGCATAGTACATTTTGGGCATCCGGTCTATCATCTTCACCATCTTATACACGTTCTTGTACGCGGCAAGAGGTCGGGTTCGTTTAGCTTGAGCGAACCACGAGTCGAGCTGCATCTGTATGTCGCTCTGCGGCACCCACGTCCCTGTCACGTTCCACAGCCATCCGCCGTTGAGTCCCTTGGGCCCGAAATTGATGGTTTGATTGAGTGGTTTCGAGTTGACATCAAGGCCGTAGGAGAAAAGGATCACTCGCACGTTGATGCGGTTTCTAAAACTGCGCGGTGGGGGAAGAGAGAGCAATACCCGAGAAACAACGAAACGGGGTGGGTTGGAGCGCTGAGCAATATTGAAAGTCGGGGGAGGAAAGTTCCGTGACAGAAACAGGAGAGGGGTTCAAGAATCGCGAAAGGAGTGCTGACAATCAGAGCGTGCGGATTCGTCCTTGTCCAAAGAATTGTTTTCGCCCCCTTCAAATGTGTAGCGAGACACATGTGTGCATGGACGCAGTTGCCAGAATCTGTGTACATGTGAGGGAGCAGCACCTGTACCTTACATGTTGACAGATGGAGTCACGTCTAAGCTCGTAAACACTGAGAGTTGGGAGCGGTACCTGTACACGTAGATATCGAGCGTGCCTTGCGTGTCGGCGGCGGCCTTAGTAGCTGCCACTACATGGCCAGCGGCCATATTTGCGCGGAGTATGCCTGGAGTAGCAAACCGCGCGGAGGAAAAAAGAAAGAAAGAAAGAAAGAAAGAAAGAAAAAATCGAAGACGAATGAGAAGGAGAAACGAGTCGCTCGCCACCAGAATGGAGCTTCAGAATGATACTTCCATGTAGAAGGCGCATTGAGGTACGCTACATGTGCCGCTGCAGGTTGTGTCCGCCTAGTACGATAGATAGAACACGACTTACATCGCAAAGTTCCAGGGAATGTGTTGGCTCTTGCGAAAGGGCCCATCGCGCGAGCGGTGCTGGCGAAGCCGATTGCCAGCACGCACAGGAGCACGACTCCTGCAACAAAACACGCAAAAGATCGAGGGGTGCGAAATTGGAGGAAGTAAACTTAAGTGAATAATCAAAACGAGGCAGAAATACATGGAGCTTATTTTGTCGTTCTACCACCGCTTACCCAAACTTGAATGGCCAGTCCCCGCCATTGACTTTATTCGAAGAATGAAAATGCTCTCTTTGTCCTAACTCCCACTGCAACTAGGGCTTGACTTCACGCTCTTTGGCTTGATGGTTCTGTGAATGGATTCACTATCACATGCGCGTAAAGAAAATGCTAGTTGGATGGTTGAGTGAATTGGTATTTGCCCCTCCCAGAAAAATCCTTGGTCAGAATCTGCTCTTGGGTCAGGAAATTGAGAAATCGAGGCGCGCTGGAGGGTTGATTGGAGAAATTTCTAGGGCGCGAAGCGAAGCCCCCTTGAACTCGCGACGATACTCATATTTCGCACTTGTTGCACGAATGTCTCAAGTACTCAAGTGTAGCAACTGTACCTGACGGCTGTCAGTCAGACCCCATACTCGTTATTGACACGGTGAGTTACTAAATTCGGTCTTAGGGACATATTTGCTAGGGAATTCAGATAAATTGACGACACCTGCCGTTGCACAGTGTTTGCCGACGGAGTTGGAGGCGAATCATCACCGTCGGTTTGGGCGGTGCATTGAAAGTTTGCGACCAAGTCTCGAGTCGCAAATGTCGAGTTCGTGCACAAATCCAAGTCGCGATGTCTCTCACATTTCCGCACACTAATTTTTCCCATCCCTCCACCACCTCACCCACACTTCTGATCGCCATTTCCTCATTACCCAAGACAGGTATGCTTCTCCCAGCTATCACCCGACGCGCTTCCGCGTGCGGTGGAGCAATGAACTGTGGAATACCAATGGCGCGCCGCGTAATCCATTTGGCTAGCATGTCCCCGTCCCCCCTCGTGCTCGATTATTCATAAATATTTCCGAGGTGCAGCAGCACGATCAGTACGACGCAGTCAGCCCTAACTGTCGAACACGCCGGCCCAAAGCTCTCCACTCCATCCTCCGCCAGCTTCAAGCGCATTCAGCCACGCACTCCACAAGCCTTTAGCGCTTCCTCTTCCATTCACACTTCTGTTCATTTCGTTTGCGTGTAAGGGACCTACGCCGAAGTAGATAGTGTACCGTACTCGCACCCACCGCCTCACCGCCCCGCCATGGCTGGCTCATTGCAAGCCGCCTCGAGGGGCGTCGCGCTCCTGCTTGCGCTCGTCCTCGCCGTTGCCAGCAGCGCAGACGCGAGGATCTTCAAACAGCCCGTCTTCGGCCGCCTGCTGCCGTTCCCAGGAAGACTACGATGTGAGTTATCGATTCGGAACATGCGAGCCAAAGGCCACCATAATGCCTTGGGATCGTCTTCCTCCTGAGTCGGGGTGTTGGATATGTGAGCCGACCGTTGAGTGGAGTCAAAAGGATCTTCAAGCAGCCCATATTCGGCCGCCTGCTGACGTTCCCAGGAAGACTACGATGTGAGTCCGCGTTTCGGGATACGTGAGCCAATGAGATTTGTGGGCCAACGATCGCCGCAATGCCTTGGGTGCGAGATCCTGGAACTCTAAGCCAAGACTGTTTGAAAGCTGAGTTGATAACATAAATATGCATGCTCAGCCTAAGCCCGCTGTGTTGCGAACAGGCCGAAGGCATCATAGCTAGAGCTTGACTGGTACACCTCCAGTGCAGAAATGGAAAAGAAACGAGCACCTGTCTAACGTTTCTGTTGTTTCCCCTGCCTAACGTTCGCCCGTCTGTCTGTCAGGCGTGCTGCGCGCCGATTTGAGCTCCAACGAGGTGCTGAGCGGGTCTCTAGGGGGTGATGCGGCCGCCCATGCCGATCTATGGATCCGCGTGTACTGGTGAGCAGTGTGCGCCAACGAAACAATCGACGAATTCACGCATCATGGCGCATTTCCGTGCTTCCTTCTCTCCGCGTCCACCCCCTCCCCCCTCTCTCTTCCACTGTCTCTGTTGTCCTTCTCCCCCACCCCCTCCCTTCCCCTCCCCTTCCCCCCCCCTCCCCCCTCTCTCTTCCACTGTCTCTCTTGTCCGTCTCCCCTCTCTTCCTCTCTCTCTTTCTGTTTCCCTCGCCCTCTCCTTAACCTTCTTCCTCCCCACGTCGCTCTCATTCTGCACCCCTCCGAACCCACAAATCTGCAGGTTTCAGAATCAGATCAACGCGCACGTGCATTTCAACGGCCACGATTTGACCGGCCAGCTCCCCCCCAACAACCAATCAATCAACCTTGGCTTTCGCGGCGCGAATGGCCCCGTCGTGTGGAACATCGAGGGATCCTGGACCGTTCAAGATCCGACCCAGATCGAGCTGGACCGTTGGATCATGGGCGTGCGGAGAACGGTGGTTCCTGGGACGTCGATGACTTTCATGCAGATGATCCACCGGATCGACAAGAATCCCGCCAAGTTCTACGGCACCATCAGCACCGACAGCTTCCCAGACGGCGCCGTTCGCGGGCAGTTCATTCGAGGGTTCCCTAACATGCTCTGGCCCGTCCCGCGGTGCTAGCACTCCGCACGGCAGCACTCCACAGTGCTAGCACTCCACTGTGCTAGCACTCCACAATGCTAGCACTCCACAATGCTAGCACTCCACAGTGCTGGCATTCGGCAATGCCAACACTCCGCAGCTAGTTCACAGTGCTCACCCTAGCATCAGCTTTTGCCGGAGCCTTAGGTGGCTAAGGCTTTGCAGATGACTTGCCTTTTTTAAAGAGAAGCACTCGCATGAGGCTTGGACTGACCGCTTGTGGCTTGGACTGAAGCTATGATGACTCTCCCGATGCATATGCAGACACTATGTGCTGTGCCGAGGGTCTAGTTTTCTTCCCAGCTCTCAACTAAGGTCCGCTGTAGGCTAGCTTGACTGGATGCCCGATTTGTGGCTGTTGCCTTCCCTCGCAAAGCCAAAACTAGCAAGTTATGTTTAGCAGGCTGTCTCTAGGGAGTTTTACAAATTGGATCTTGATGTTGTAAGCAACCTTTTATAGTAGTTCACATAATGGGCGTCTCTCCTCACTTTGTATTTGCGTAAAAGTGATTCTTCACTATTGTTGGAAGTGAGAGCAGAGGCTAGAGCACACCCATGTCTGATAAATTTGCTACGTCACCAACAGTACATATGCAGCAAGGCCTTCACGGTGCCGTTACACATTGCCCTGGTTTCACTCATTTTGATACCACAAAATGCATTACCAAAAGAATGGTTGTGTTGGGATGCTGGGGCGTCCTATACCATGCCATTTAAACCACTGTATGTCCATATTGGTTGGATGTTGACTACTTGCGTGACTGCATGACAATATTCTTACTAGGTCACCCGCTATCGCGTATAACATAGCAGACACTCAATATCGATCACATGTTGTGGTACAGTTCATAACGCCACCATAGTGAACGCACATTCGCCAGCTCGACATTTACGACTGTCCAGCGGCCAACGGTTTTTGATATTAGCTGAGTCCACATTTGTCCCACCATCATCCAATAGAAATCCAAGGCGAAGCCATCAATTCCCAACCGACAAATGCGAAGTCGTCTGCAAAGGGCCCGCGCCTCCCCTCCCTGTTTTTTCGCCATGTCCGAGCCAAGCGGGGTGCTGAGAATTGGAATGTGCCTCGCCGAAGCCTCGCGAAAATTTTGATTTGTCCGCAAAGCGCGCGTCGGTCGGAGACTCCAAGATTTCCCCCCCAAAAATTCCACCGCGAAATTGCGACCGTTTCGTGTAACCACGCGAGGTTTGAAAGCCGACACACAAAAGCGCACCAGCAACACCCTCCCCCTAACAAGCTGCACCGTCAACATCATTTACATTTAGTCCGAAGGCCACTCCCATTCGCTTATCAAAATCGTACCCAAAGCCGCGCACCAGAGGCATTGAAATCCCGATTAGCATTCAGTAGCCGCTTACTCCAGTTTATCGGCTTCAAATCGAGATTTCCTTCTTGTGGATTCGGCTAGTGGATTCATTCTACGGCAGCTGCAAACGGCGAGTGGAAAAAACTCCTTCTCTGATCAGCAACCATGCCTCATTTGCAAGGGCTGTGTCTCCATGGTACTATTCCTCGCCCCGCTCCAGTGTAACGTTTTTCCCCAATATTATCACGTCTGTTAGGAACCACACTCGGCCTTAGCTTTTGGCTCATATCAGCGTTTTCTTCGCCCATTCCGGGGCCCATTCACGTATTATGGTGCCTCCTTTCGCGCTGCAGTCCTCCTTTCGCTCGTCGTCGCGTCGCAAGCGCAAGGCTTTCCGATTCGCTGAATCCATTTCCATATTATGGCTGCCCCCTTTCGCTCTGCAGGTCTTCTCCTCCTCTCCCTCGTCGTCGCGTCGCAAGCGCAAGGCTTTGGAGGAAGTGGAATCTCGGCATTCATCCCCTTCCCGGGAGTTCAGAAGTGTACGTTGCGTGGTAGATGAATCATCTACCAGCTTTAAAAAAATGTCAAATCTTTTGTTTTGAACGCTGCTGTTGATTTTTATCAACGCTTTTAAAACGCGTCGCGCGGAGGGTTCTGTGACTAGCTCGTGCGGTCAACCAAGGGCTGGCACCCGTCGCTCACCCCTTCGCATTCCCTCCCGCTCGCTTTGTTCATGCTACAGGCGTGCTTATATCGGGTATGAAACCCAACAAGATTCTACAATACCATCCTCTCGGCGATATCAGAGCGAATGGCAATCTCCGCATCACCGTGTACCAGTGAGTCTTATCGCATGGCTATCGCATGTCTATCGCCTGCCTACCGCGTCGCCGGCTCGTGTCCCGCGCACATTAACAAACAGGCTTATTATTCCCCAAAAGATTTTACCCATTCCTTCCCTTGTCGTCGCGGCATTCACTAATCGACTCTCTCTACCTATCGCCGCTAACCCTGGGCCTCGTACTCTCTCGTGGTCAACCCCTCCCCCCTCACTCTCTCCCCCCCTCCTCCCCTCCCTCTCTCCCCCCTCCCTCCCCTTTCTCTCTCGTGCTCCTCCCCGCAGAATGCAAGGTCGGATCAACCTGAAGCTCAAGCTCGACGCCGACTATCTAACCGGCGCTCTGCCGCCCAAAAACATCACCGTCTACGACTCGCGCTCGGGCGGCGCGCTGGGCCTCCCCGTGTTCGGCGTGACGGGGAAATGGCAGGCGAATCCGACCCACGGGGAGGTGATTCTGCGCACGTGGATCCTGGACGCCAGCAACAAATATCCTCCGGGTTCCACGCTGTCTTACTACGACCTGATTCGCCAGATCGATCTGAGCCCGCGAAGCTTCTTCGCGTCGCTCACGACGGAGAGGTTCAAGTGGGGCGCGCTGAGGGGGAGGTTCGTGCGTGGCGCCGTTAACATGATGATCCCCGTGCCTGTGTGCTAGGGGTCGGATCGCCAGAGAGCAGATAGGAGTGGAAACATGGTTAGGGGAGTTCCACGGACGAGAGTTCCAAGTCTGGAATTCCATTCATCCCTGGGTCATCGTTACCGGTAGATCCAGCAATATATGCTATTATTTGTAGCACCAGAGGTGGGGGGTTCTGTGTATGTGTACCGCCCACCCCACCTCCAGAGAGCTTAGATGCTCTTCTTAGAGACTAGCTTCTGATGACGCACTGCCAATACTAATCTTTGCAATGTACTCGTCATATACCGTGGAAACTGATACTTCAAGCTGCTATAGAGCTCATGCAGAGTTGTCAACAGCCAGCTCATGCCACAAGCACTACCTAAGCAAATGCGCCAAGCCTTTTGTAAACAGAAACCGCTGATATCTGCAGCTTATTTGTTATGAATTATAACTCAGAGTATAGCGCAGAATACTATAAGGGAACATGATTACAGAATGCCTATCAAAATAAGACCTAGGGCTTAAAGCCGTTGACCCAAATTGCAGAAATTTTGTTTCAAGTTTATTAATCTTGAAACTGCCCTTCTGGTAACCCAGTTCCGCAAAACGAGAGGGAAAACTAAGATCGTGCACCAAAAAGACGGGAAACATGTGATAGGTGTAAGGAATTTCCATTCCTTACTGAGTCGGCCGCTACCGCGTACACCCGAACACTTCGAATCGTCACGTTCGGCCTACATTTTCGGCCCAACACTTTCTCGAGTCGCGCCCGACAGCGTCGCCACATTGCCAAACCTACTCACGTCCCGAGGTTATCGCCCTATTACGTCCACTCCTATATAACCTTGTGCTTTCATGGCAATAGTGACGTTGTATTCTTATTATAGTACATTGACATCTTCTAAATCATAACAGTTGGTATCAGAGCCCGACCTTTCTCGGAACCTTCCGTTTTCCCCCGTTAGTTAGTTAAGGGTAGTCAGAGGGGATTAACACGGCTGCACAGCCGTTGCCTTTGATCGTAAATATTTTTACGTCAACAACTACAGCGTGTGTGTGCGCTAGTTTCTGCCCCGTCCTGACCGCCATGGCCCCGGTAGACTCGACGGTTGAGGAACAGACAACCTCGACTGCTGCGAACTCTGCCCAGGAAACAGTAGACCTGCAAGCATTAATGGAGCAGTTGAATAATTTGACAAGCGTCGTCAACAACCTCCGTGACGAAAACCAACGACTTCGCCAAGCGCAGGATAGGCGTTCAGAGGAGCCGGACGACGATGCACGAAGCGAGGCGGGTGAGCAGCAACCGACACCAGTGGAGCTAGCACGGCTAGCGGCGACAGCCCCGCGCTCGACAAGTGGCGGCATGAGATATCAGCAACCCGCTCCTTTCGACCCAGCTAATAAAGGCGTGACGGCGCGGCAGTGGATATTCGCCATGAATATCTACTTTAACGCGGCGGGCATCAGAGACACCAGAAGCGGATCATCCACGCGTTGACACTGCTGCAAGGGGCCGCCCTACAGTGGTGGAAGGTCATCGTCGACTCAGCGGCAACTCGCACAGAAGGACAGCATGAGTGGTCCGAAGAATTCGGCGACGAAGACGAAGCAGATTTGCTGTTTGGTGCAACTCACATTCGCACGTGGGCAACGTGGTGCGCAGAGCTTCGCAAGCAGTTTGAGCATGCTCCTGACTCAGACAAAGCGCGCGAGACTTTACGCATGTGGAAGCAGCTGGGATCTGTGTCTGACTACACCGCGTCATTCCTGACGTTGGTGGATCGATGTGGCTACATGCACGAGTTGGAGAAGGTCGACAGGTACATGGGCGGGCTGAAGCCTGAAATACAGTACCAAATAAAATTACAACGACCTGCGAAGCGGTTACAAGACTTCATCCAACTCGCCGAAGCCGCTGACTCGCTCACGAAGCCGAGGACGAACTTCTACGACGGAGGTCGCCTTCGAGAACAGTACCAGCGTGCCACGATAAAAGGGATGGACGCAGTGGATATTTACGCAGTTGCTCCGCGAAATACGGGGCTATGCTACCACTGTGGCCGACCGGGTCACATCAAACGCAACTGCCCAGAGTTCATCGCCATCCAGAATTCTATGGGGAAGAAGTCGGAGGAGCGACCGGGAAATGGGTCGCGTCAGTAAGTACCGGGCCCCTTACTGACGGGTAGGCTTCTTCGCCCGAACCACACAGTCCCCACCGGGTCGTGATCCCGATTGCTGCAATCGACCGGACCCGGACGAATAAGGGGGACGAAACTGATGATCACCCTGTGTTGGTGGAGGGTAAAGTCAACGGGGTGTTGCTGAAAATATTCGTGGATGGAGGCGCGAGTCACAGTCTCATACAGCTCGACAAGGCTAAGAAAATGGGTATCCCCTTATTAAAGTGTCTACCCGAAATTGACGCAAGACTGGTGGATGGAACACCGCTGGCTATACGGGAGCGGGTGGAGCACGACAGTTTCCACTGCGGCGAGCACGTAAAATTTTCGGATGGGACTGCTGGCGACTACACTCGACGGGTGCGACGTGCTGCTGGGATGGGATTGGCTGCGATAGTACAACCCGAGAATCGACTGGACGACGGGCAGCTGCAGCATCAAGATCGATGGGCACTATCACGAGTTACCGAAATGGACGGGACCCTGCATGCGAAGTACCCAAGTCCACGCGATCACCTTCAAGCGCGCGATAAAAACGGGAGCAGCAGCATACGCCGTCGATCTTCGCGAAGTGACGTCCCCGATAACAGCGGAAGATATCATGAAGCTGTGTGAAGCCGTTCCTCCGGATTTAGCGGAACTCATTCGAAAATACCCCGAGATTTTCCCGGACGACCTACCCGCCGGACTTCCGCCAAGCCGACCCGAAGACCATCGCATCGAGCTGGAACCAGGAGCACAACCGACGGTACAGCGACAATTTCGGCTCGGCCAACCAGAACTCGAGGAATTGCAGCAGCAGTTGGATTACCTCCTGACGAAAGGTTTTATCCGCCCAAGCACATCCCCATACGTCGCCCCCATACTGTTCACAGTAAGACCAGATCGTCTACGTAGACAAGGATGTAGAACGGAGTCTGGCCGGAACGCACAAACAGCGAGGGGTCAGCAGAGGACGAAAATAACTGCAGGTCTGCTAACGTGGCCCGCAGCGTGTCGTGCCACTCGCGAGGAGCCTGACGCAGGCCCTAGACCGGGCGCCAGAGAAGCCACTGGGTCCTAGGGGGGAAGGTACCAGTGAAGCCCTGTGGTTGGCGCAGGTAGACCTGCTCGTGTAGGCCGCCCTGAAGAAAGGCAGTAAAGAAGTCGAGGGAGTGAAGCTCGTAGTCGCGCTGTGCTGCTACGTGTAGCCGCGCCCGAAGAGTGGTCATCTTCGGGGTCGGGGCGAAGGTTTGGAAGAAGTCAACCCCCTCTCGCTGACTGAAACCTGTGGCCACGTAGCGCGCCTTGAAGACAGGCAGCTCTCCAGGGGGGGGGTTCACCTTGAAGAGCCACCGACCATCGACTACGTTCACCCAAGGCGGGGGAACTGCGTCGACGTAAGTGCCGGTGGACCTCCAAGATGCCATCTCCTGCTCCATGGCAGCTATCCACTGAGAGGCCCAGGGTCCCGAGGTGGCCTCAGCGTAGGTGCGAGGGGTCGGGATGTCGAAGGCGTCTGGGTCACCCTCAGGGACTAACAGCATGGAGCAGTGTGGGGAGCAGCCTCGGAAAGGAAAGCAAGCTCGTACTGCCTGTCCTCTAGGACGTCACTGCCAAGGGCAGGAGCACCCCCGACGGACGGAGGACGGGCATGGTCAGAGACCAGTGCGGTAGCGTAGTCAAGGCGGCGGGTAGAGGCGAAGCCAACGACAGCAGCGACAAGGGCGTCCAGGCGCGAGACAGGAACAGCACGGTCGGTAACAAGAGAGTCAAGGACCCGAGGGACAAGGGGACGAGTGGCACGGAGGTAGTCAGAGAACGGAGGTGGTGCAACAGCAAGGGACGAGGGAGGAGGGGACGGGAGGAGGGGAGGACGAGATGAGCGGGAACGGAGCAACATAGGGTGGGTGGGAAGGACAGGAGAGACTGGACGAGCTCGGGAGGGACGGCGAGCCCAAACGTGAGACGGAGGTGTAGGGTCAGGAGACAGCGGAGGTGACACAGGAGGGGAACGAGGAGGAAGACGGGCCGGAAACGAGTCCGGCAGCGGGAACACAGGACTGTAGATAGGAAGGTCAGCAGGCGGTGGGGGAGACAACGGCGCGCGGTCCGGGGAGGGAAGGCCGAGCAGGCGGAGAGCGGAGACCGGCGGCGACGGCTGCTGCGGCTGCTGCGACAGCTGGGCTGGAACCCTCGGACCGGCAGAGCCAGGACGACCGTCGGCGGAACCCTCAATAGCAGCACCCCCAGAACCAACACCCCCAGAGCAAGAGCCCCCTCCAACTCCAGCGGCACCCCCGGGAGCCGCAGGACGAACACCCTCCTCAACGCCAGCACCCCCAGAGGCCAATGGCGGCAGCGGCGGCGGCAACGACGGCGGCTGCGGTGGTGGCGGTGACTTCGACTGCGACGGCGGCGGCGGCGGCAGCGAAGGCGACTGCGGCAGGGAAGGCGGAGACACCGGGGAAGGGGGACCTGGCAGGGACGGGCCGGGGGAACCACAAGAGTTAGCAGAATCCTCAAGGGGGACAACCGACGGGAGGGGAGTGACGTGAGAGACACCAGACTGGGCAGGATGAGGCGGGAGAGGAGCAGGGGCTACCGGGGGAGAGGGAGCCAGGAACAGGGGCGGGGCAACCGGGAGACCTCGGTGAGGGAAGCGGCGGTAGAAGGAGACAGACTCGTCAAAGGTGACGTCACAAATGTGGAGGAAGCGGTGAGACGGCGGGTGGTAGAAAAGCCAGTCAGACGAGTCCAGGGGAAAACCGAGGAAGACACAGGGGACAGTGCAGGCAGTGAGCTTGTCCATGCAAGAGGCACGAACGTGAGCAAGGCAGCCCCAGACGTGGAACGCACACGCGTCACCGGGGGACCCGGTCCAAAGGAGGGTCGGCGAAACTTGCGGCCGCTGGGAGCGTGGCCACAAGTTTAGTTGGTGAGCAGCGTAGCGAACAGCGAACGACCACAGAAAATGGGGGGCATCGGCATGAATCATGGAGGTACGGGCGACCTCCATGACCAATCCGATGCGGCGCTCAGCAACCCCATTCTGCTGTGGCGAATTCCGCAAGGTGTACGACTGGGTGATGCCCTCCGCACGACAAAATTGTCCAAGCAGGCCAGAGGCGAACTCGCCGCCACGGTCAGAGTGGAGACACAACACGGGGAGACCGCGGTGGAGACGCGCAGCCACAACCCACGGGAGAAGAACGTCGGGCACGTCGGCCTTCCGCTCCAGGGTAAACACTGTGGTGTAGCGCGTGTAGTCGTCGACGAGCACAAGGAAGTAGCGCTCACCGCGCGGTCCGGGGAGGGGGGCAGAGCCCCAAACGTCCAGGTGCAGGGTCTGAAGGGGGGCAGTAGCAGGGCACAGCGAGGAGGAGTGAGGAGCACGGTGGAGCCGACCCTCGACGCAAGGCGTGCACGGTGGCGCAGTCGAGGGAGGAAGGGCGAGGAGCGACGCGGGGAGACCTAAGACAAGACCGTGCTGGGACATGTGACGCAGACGCGGGAGAGCAGGGTGACCTAAGCGGTGGTGCCAGAGAAGAGACGGGTGAGTGAGGGACCGACACGAGCAAGCTGCAGCGACCTGGGAGGACGCACCAACTGGGGGGGAAGCGGTGTCTAGGGTAAACAGACCAGACACCGGGTCCCGGGGGAACGTCGCAAGGGGGGAACCTGAGACAGCCTCAGAACAGACAGCGAACCGCTCGTGCCCGAGGAACGTGGTGGTGACGCTGAGGTCCTGGAGACAGCCGACACCAACCAGGTTCCTCAAGAACGAGGGAACATGGAGGCCTATAAGGGAGCCCGAGGGAACTGCTGGACAGGGAAGGGACGTAGAACTGCGATCGACGACAGGACCCGCAGAGGGGTCAGCGAGAGAGACAACAGCAGGCGCAGCAAGCGGCGTGAGCGTAGAACGGTCGCGGAAGAAGCAGGCAGAAGCACCGGAGTCAAGAGTGAAGGACAACGAAGTAGTGGCGGAGGCCGGGGACGAAGCCGGTGCAGCGACTAGACTAGGGAAGCTACGCAGTCCTACGCCTGACGCAGCTGCGGAGGCTAAGCTACACAATGGTGCAACACCTAAACTGGAGTACACAGGGTAATAAGATCCAGCAACACTAGAAGCGTCAGAATTCAAAGCATGCAAAGCAGCACCTATCTGATCCGTGTCTAACTCAAAGATCGGCACGCCCTGGCGGAGCAGGCTGTGCCAGTCGGGGAGGTCCGGGGCCGGGCCAAAGCGACGACGAAAGAGATCGTCGAGGCGGCGGAAACAGCGGGCGGTCGGGTGCGGGCGGCGGCACAGAGTGTCGCGAAGAGGCCCGGTCTGAAGTTGGTACTGGAAGGTAACAGCACCGGAGTCGCCGGTAGATGCCAAGCTGCGCGGGCCGCCACCACGGCCACTACCTCCGGAGGTGCCGGGCCAGCCAGGCGGGAGACGGGCCCACGGCTGCGGCGGCTGCTGCTGCGGTGACTGCTGCTGGGACGGCGGCTGCGGCTTGGGCTGCTCCTGCTGCGGCTGGGGCTGCTGCTCCTGCCCACCAGTGGTAGTCCCCGCAGGCGGACTACCGTCACCACCACCACCACCACCACCACCACCACCACCACCACCACCACCACCACCACCACCACCACCACCACCACCCCACCACCACCACCACCACCACCACCACCACCACCACCACCACCACCACCACCACCACCACCACCACCCCTACCTCCCTGGCGACCACGGCCACCGCGGCGCGAGCGCTGCTGCGGGTGGACCGCAACAGCCGTCTCGGTGAGAGGGGTCGCCGTGGCGACCGCAGCCGAAACGTCAGTGAACGTGCACTGGGAGGGGGCACAGCCGTGAAAGATAGAGACTGCCGGCGCACCGCTCGACTGAGCGATAGTGCGCTGACGAGTCTCGATCTCAGTGGGAGTGTCGACAAAGGCAGTGAGGGTGAGGTCACCCGGGTGCTGGCTAAGGAAGTGATCGCGAGCACTAGCGAGGCGGTCTGGCAGGCGCATGGCGATAAAATAGAGCGTCATGCAGAAAGGGGGGGGGAGCGCAGTGAGCTGGGCAGCAGTGCTGGCAGTGTGATAGCAGGTCTCTAGGGCACGCAGGTGAGTGGCAAAGTCTGCGACGGTAGGGAAGGCTGCAAGGTCTGGGAACAGCATCGGGAAGAGCAAGCGGCCAGCAGAAGCAGACGCGGGTGTGGAATAGCGAGCAATAACGGCGTCTAAGTAAGCTTCGGCCGTCTCAACAGTAGCAAAACGTGAGCACTCAGACACAGGGAGGGCGTGACTAATAGCAACCTGAGCTACTGTATCGTGGGAGTCCCAGACCGCACGAGCAAGTGCAGCAGTAGAGAAGGCCTCACGATCATTAGAAGAGGGATCAGCAGGGAGGGGAGCAGGGGCAGGGGGGCGGGGGAGCAAGCCGTGGACATGGACAACCAAAGAGTGGCCATCCTGGCGCTGACCTGTAAGGTGGCGGCGGAGATCGGAGAGCCATGCGGCGAAGTCAACCGCATGGCCCTCGGCGTCCAGTCGGAGCACGAAGTCAGCCATCGTGCAGGGTCAGCGGCACAGCTCCACAGGAACACAGCGACGCAGGGACACGGCAGCAGCACTCTCCAGCACGGCGGCCGCGAGGCGCCCCAGCACTGGCGAGCAGAGTAGACGGAGCCCGAGGTGGCACGGCAGGACGGGCAGGCACAAAGATGGGCCGGGCGGGCAGTGGGAGAGGCCAGGCAGACGCGACGGGGCCAGGCAGGCGCGGAGGGGCCAGGCAGGCGTGGCGAGGCCAGGCAGGCGCGGCGGGGCCAGGCAGGCGCCGCGGGGCCAGGCAGGCGCGGTGGGGCCAGGCAGGCGCGGAGGGGCCAGGCAGGTGCGGCGGGGCCAGGCAGGCGCGGTAGGGCCAGGCAGGCGCGGCGGGGCCAGGCAGGCGCGGCGGGGCCAGGCAGGCGCGGGGGGGCCAGGCAGGCGCGGCGGGGCCAGGCAGGCGCGGCGGGGCCAGGCAGGCGCGGTGGGGCCAGGCAGGTGCGGAGGGGCCAGGCAGGTGCGGCGGGGCCAGGCAGGCGCGGTAGGGCCAGGCAAGCGCGGCGGGGCCAGGCAGGCGCGGCGGGGCCAGGCAGGTGCGGCGGGGCCAGGCAGGTGCGGAGGGGCCAGGTAGGCGCGGCAGGGCCAGGTAGGTGCGGAGGGGCCAGGCAGGCGCGACGGGGCCAGGCAGGCGCGGCGGGGCCAGGCAGGCGCGGCGGGGCCCGGCAGGGGCGGCGCGGCCAGGCAGGCGCGGCGGGGCCAGGCAGGCGCGGCGGGGCCAGGCAAGCGCGGCAGGGCCAGGCAGGCGCGGCAGGGCCAGGCAGGCGCGGAGGGGTCAGGCAGGCGCGACGGGGCCAGGCAGGGCGCGACGGGGCGAGGTAGGGTGCGACGGGTCCAGGCGGGCGCGACAGGGCCAGGCAGGGCGCGATGGGGCCGAGCGGGCGCGACGGGACCAAGCAGGGCGCGACGGGGCACAGGAGGGGCGCGACAGGGCTAGGAGGCGCGACGGGGCCCAGGAGGGGCGCTAGGAGGCGCGACAGGGCCCAGGAGGGGCGCGACAGGGCTAGGAGGCGCGACGGGGCTAGGAGGCACAACGGGGCCCAGGAGGGGCGCGACGGGGCTAGGAGGCGCGACGGGGCCCAGGAGGGGCGCGACAGGGCTAGGAGGCGCGACGGGTCCCAGGAGGTGCGCGACGGGGCTAGGAGGCGCGACGGGGCCCAGGAGAGGCGCGACGGGGCCAGGAGACGCGACGGGGCCCAGGAGGGGCGCGACGGGGCTAGGAGGCGCGACGGGGCTAGGAGGCGCGACGGGGCCCCAGAGGGGGGGGGGGGGGGGGCGCGGCGGGGCCTAGCTAGGGTACGGGCGGAAGCGGTAGGTGGGGGATTCTAACCTACGCGTGATACCATGTTAAAGTAAGAACTGAATGATTGACTAGATGTGGAAACCTAGAACAAATACTAGTTGGTTGTACTCACTAGAAGCATACCTCAGTGTAGCCTATAACTTCTACATAGCTAATATGTATAAGTTGACAATTGGTTCATGAGGTTTCGTCAAGAGTGTTTTTGTCGCGCATGGTGTTGCGACGCTCGCTCGTTGGCGAAAACCACTCGCCACCTCACACCACTGCCCTACGCCCCTGCGCGCTGCCGTGTGTTAAAATTATATAAGTTATAATTTAATATAGGCTTGGTAGGTTGTTACTGAACCTTTCTGTAGAGGGTACAAACCCCTCCTTGTACTCCTCTCTCTTCCTAATCAACTCTCTTTTCTCTCGACACTCTCGTCCACCTCCTAGCTAAACCCCGCCCCCACATTCATGGCGGCCTTGTTCCTTCCTACTGCCTAGTTTAGTTTCTGACATGGTATCGAGAGCGAGACGCCCTTCCTGGGCCTGCTCCCCTCCGTGCCTTCCGCTGCGTTCTCGTTCGTCAGTCGTTCCTGCCGTGCCGCCGTGGCGGCCATGCCCGTTCCCGTCGTGCCGTCGCGCCGTGACGGGTGGCGTCGATGCCACACTGCTACGACGGCGCCGTGCATACCGTCGCAGCGTCGACGTCCTGCGACGCCGCGCTGTGGCGGCGTCGTCAGGCGACAGCCGGCCGCGCAACGTCAGTGGCGACGCTGGACCTGCCGCCCGCTCTACCGCCACCGGCGTGATTATGGACTACGCCGAGACACTCAGGTCTACCCAGGGCTACTGCTTCAGCCTTGGCTCAGGTGTCGTCTCGTGGAGAGCTACCCGCTCCTCGTCTGTTGCCCAGTCGAGCTGTGAGGCTGAGATCTACGCTGGTGCCATGGCGGCACAGGAGCTCCGCTGGCTGACCTTCTTGCTCACTGACTTAGGTGAGCGGCCTAGCTCTGCCCCGGTCCTGTTCGCTGACAACAGGGCCATGATCCTCCTGTGTCAGGAGCCTCGACTCGAGGGCAGAGCGAAGCACATTCAGCTGCGGTACTTCCTCCTGCGTGAGCTACAGCAGCGGCGTCAGGCTCGCGTAGTACACTTGGCCTCAGGTGCCAACACAGCTGATATCTTTACGAAGGCGCTTGCCCCTAAAGATCATCAGCGGCACTGTGTACAGCTTGGACTAGTTCCTGTAGCCTCTCACTTGCTAGGACCTTGACTTTGTACTGTCCTTTATATGTATACTCAGACTGGACTTGTGTCCTCTCCCAGTGGCTGGACTAGTAGTGCCGCCCTGGTCTTGTTCTCGCCTTGTCTGTACTCCTTCTGACTGGTCTCTTAGACCCTTGTCTCAGAGGTTGGACTAGTAGTGCCGCCCTGAGCTGCTTCTTTAGGACATTCCCCTATGCAGTCTAGGGGGTGTGTCAAACATGTATAATTGTTACCGTAATCCCCCGTATATAACACCCTATGGTGTATATAAAAATTCACTAAAAAAATGACTGGGTGTTAACAGTGGCCCGGAAAAATATAGTGCCCATGTGTTATGTAAAATGCAATTTGAATTTGAGTGTTTTAGGCCACGGGTGTTCAAAAATGTGCGGAGCGACTGTTAGCGAGGTACCGCATCCGCTACGACGGAACTCACAAACCAATCGTCGTTGGCCAATCCCTGCTGAGTGTTGTAGTCAGGGCCAGGTTTGTGCGGCACCTGCGACCGTCATGATCGCGACAGAATCCGCGACTTCGACGGGTGGATTTCGCTCGGGAGGATTCTGACCGTCAAATCACAACAGAATCCGCGAATTCAACGGTCGAAATCCTCCCGTCTCGACCTTTGCTGACGTTTCGATTTCGCGCTGCAACTTGTGTTGATGTTTCTGCCCGTTTTTCGCTACTAATGGTAGTTGACATTGCGTTTTTCATCCTGTTCGATTTTTTTCCCAATCGAGCTGAGCTTGAAAAACTACGAAATACTGTTCTTTGCTGCATAAAACGAGGAGGGTGTTATGTAAAATGCAGCCCCCGAAAAGCGGGTGCTCTCCTAAATTCACCCTATCATAAGCTCTCCCCCGCATAAACCACCCGCGGAGTGACTATTTCGGCGGGTGTTATATACGGGGGATTACGGTATGTTTGCATAGACTGTATAGGGTCACCTCCTAGAGGGTACAATACTTAGGTATATCTATCTGTACTCTCCCTCTACCCCATCATTCACTTCTCTCATTCTGATACCGTGTCCAACTTTTTGCCCCTATCATGTTTATTAATCTTGCACGTTTAAGGTCAACGGCTTTAAATAGTGCGAGTTGACCAGGTTGAAATGTCAAGGGTTGGACCAGTCAAGGGCTCGATAGTCCGAGGGTGACGGGGTCAAAACGGGTTCGGGGCGACTCGGGGTCAGGTTGGGGCCAAAGGGACGACGGGGGCTGGTTTGGCGCGATAACCGAGGGCCGAGCCTGCGGACCCGCACTGTTCGCGGTACTCGCTGTGGCGAGCCCCAGTAAGGAATCGTCATTCCTTACATTATTAGCTAATCTGAAAGTCCCTGATATTTACTTGAAACTTTTCATGTTATAATAAGTAGAAATGTTAATCAACGTCCCATAATGTTCGTAAGCTGATTCAGAAACCATGTAGATCTGCAATATTCAACGGTTGGCTATAAAGTGGTTGCAGGAAGAACAATAAATGGGATTGGTGTCGCGTCCAACACGGGCCTCGCGCCCGTGACTTGCGGCGCCCCCCTCGCACGTTCAGGGCTGAAGGGTCAATTGTTCCTCTCGAAGCGCGTACAGAATTGGCAGCATTCGTGTCGGAATTTGGTCTCTGTACATTCCACCACCACATCCTTCTGAGCGAAAGGCGCAAATTTGACGACAGTCGCCTTGTCCTGCTGCCCCACCGAGCTTGCAAGCTTGCAGAAGCTTGGTTCCACCAGACCGAACGCCAGCATACATAGTCAGACTACCTCATAAACTGAAGTATGCACTCGCACACAACTCGGTATTGCATCTCAATCTCTCGTCTCCAGAACTGCTATTCCCTGCGATCTTAGCAGAAGAAGCGCTAGGCACTCGGTTGAGGAATAGAAGAATGGCCTTGTTGCGGGACTTTCTGCTCTCAGGTGCGCTCTCTAAGTCTCTCGAACTTCTCTTTCTCGTTCTCTCGAACCTTCCCGACAGGTCTTCTCGTCCCCTCGCTCGTCGCCGCCGCTCAAGGTCCAAGCTGGGGGTGGTCTCGCCGCGTGTTGCTTTTACACGTCCGTTTGCTCGTTTTTTCCCAGGGCTCTCTACTCAACATTAGCCGTCTGCTCGTTTCTGTTCAGTCGACTGACAAGACACTCTTATCAATCTCACACTCTACCAACCCGACAGGTCTTCTCGTGTTGTCGCTCGTCGTCGTCGCGCATGCCCAAGTCGGGAATGGTCTCGCCGCGTTCGTTCCTTTCCCCGGCGTCCCTCGATGTAAGGAATGTTCGTTCCTTTCCCCGGCGTCCCTCGATGTAAGGAATGTTCGTTCCTTTCCCCGGCGTCCCTCGATGTAAGGAATGTTCGTTCCTTTCCCCGGCGTCCCTCGATGTAAGGAATGTTCGTTCCTTTCCCCGGCGTCCCTCGATGTAAGGAATGTTCCTTCCCCGCGTTCATTCCACCAGTACCTAATGAGGCGACCCACGTACGTCCAGCAGAATCCATTGAGGTCTCTCAGAATACGTCCAGATATGAATACGTCAGCAGAGTCCGTTGGAAGTTTCTCAGAATACGCCCAGCATTTCCTTTTGTGGCGACTTAAAAAATCGTCCAGAATTATCCCAGCCTGACGCTTGTCAGCCTCGGACTGTCGTGACGTCGTGATGTCTCTTGGCATTCGTTGATTCCCGGCTCCGCCGTTTCTCCGCAGTGAACGCCGTTTCTCTCCGCCGCTACTCCTCGCCGTTTTTACCGCCGTTTCTCTCAGCCGTTTCTCACCTGCGACCTCTCCCGCTCAACATCGTCTGCTTTTTATGTACTTGCTGGTCACCATGTATATGTTGGTTACCATGTACTTGCTGGTCACCATATGCTTGCTGGTTATCATGTACTTGCTGGTTACCATATGCGCGCTGGTTACTACTCGTGGCCTTCCAGAGCCACAATACTCCGCGCACGCACTTGAACATTTTCCATCCCCGTTTCTGACTGCAGGTGTGCTTCTAGCGGGTCTGCAGCCCAACAAGGTGCTCAAGTACCATCCGCTCGGCGACATCGGAGCCACGGGCACTATGCGCATCTCCGTCTTCCAGTGAGTCGCGATACCGTTGACGTGCTGGTTACCATCTACTTGCTGGTTACCATCTACTTGCTGGTTACCATCTGTACTGTCTGCTTCGCTCGTGCTTGAGAGATCGTCGACGCGTACTCTCCGCGCCTCCGTCTTCCAGTGAGTTGCCAAGGAAATAGAGAGCGTTTGGGTAGCGCGATAGCCGTCCGGCCAGAATAGCGGCGATGTGGGAGCGTCGGGTATCTCCGTTTTTTAGTGAGTCGTGCAATCCTTTTTCGTGGAGTTGATGGAATGCTGATGTACTTTCCAAGAGTCGTGCTGTCCTCGAGCTCAATCAAACGTCGGACGTAAACTCTCCGCATCTGCGCCTTCCAGTGAGTCGCACTTTTCAGTGATTCTTGAAGCAACCTGCACATTTCCTCGGTTGACGTTGGGAACCACTGCCAACGCCTGCTTACCGACTCGTTCTCCTCTTCCCTATCCGCTTACTTCGGGATGCAAGGCAAGATGAATCTCAAAACAAGGTCGACAGCAGCATGCTCTTCGGCCCACTCCCCCCGCACACCGCTGACACCTTCACCGCACCTCCACTCAAACTCACAGAGTTGTCCTCTCTCCTCCTTCACCCCCCCCACTCCCAGGATGGAAGGCAAGATCAACCTCAAATTCACAGTCGACAGCAGCCTGTTCTCCGGCCCGTTCGCCCCATGCGCAGCACTGATACTGTCACCATGCATCCACTGAGACTCGAGTGTCCTTTCTCCCTCTCCCCCCCTCCCCCCACCTCCAACCCCCCCCCTCCCTCTCCCAGAATGCAAGGCAAGATCAACCTCAAGTTCAAAGTCGACAGCAGCCTGCTCTCCGGTCCTCTCCCGCCCAGCGCTGTTACTGGGTTCACCACGCAGTCTCAAACTGACTAGCCCGTTTCCGTCCCCTCCCTTCCTCCCAGGATGCAAGGAAAGATCAACCTCAAGTTCAAGGTCGACAGCAGCCTGCTCTCCGGCCCGCTCCCCCCACGCAACATCACCGTCTTTGATTCCCGCTCAGGCGGCGCAACCGGCTTTCCCCTCTTCGGCGTCAACGGCAAGTGGACGTCCAGCCCTACAACCTCAACCGTCGCACTCCGCACGTGGATCCTTGATGCGGCGAACAAGTACCCGCCCGGGTCGACCATTTCGTACTACAACTTAGTTAAGCAGGTTGATTTGAGTCCGAGGAGTTTCTTCGGGTCGATTACGACGGAGAGGTACAAGTGGGGGGCTTTGAGGGGGACGTTCCAACGGGGGGCCGTGAACATGTTTAGCCCTGTGCCCTTGTGCTGAGAGTGGTGCCCATGTGCTGAGTGCGGTGCCCATGTGCTGAGTGCGGTGCCCATGTGCTGAGTGCGGTGCCCGTGTGCTGAGAGCAGTTCCCTTGTGCTGAGAGCGGTGCCCATGTGCTGAGAGCGGCGCTGAGACGGAAAGCTAGCAAATGCAGCTGCCGTGCTGAGGAGCCGTGTTGCCATGGCTGCATGTGCACCAGGTCTTAGGCGGAACCCACTTGTAGCAGTAGTCTAATCTGGTGCATTTCCCTGGTCAAGCACATTGCTTGATATCAGCTGGCGTCACATTTCTTGTACTAATCTCTTATTAGAGGCATATATCATGAAAGAATCTTAGTTGTAATGGTGCGTGAGCATATCCAATAAAATGTAGACCCCATCCAAATAAATTCCAGTTTGAATGTACTGCTCCGTGCCCTGATGTCACACAAACTATATTTTCTTTAAATTTACGCATCATATCGATCTTCATCGTATGGTGAAACCTACTCACCAGCAAAGTTTTGTAAAAGGTCGTGTTGAAAGAGGAATATATATTAATAAGAACATGTGAGTTATAGAGCCATTATATGGCTGATCGCGTATCTCGAGGTTGACCTCTTTGGGAGCTCCTCCTGGCTTTGGGGTTGTCGGATAAATCCTCCGTGTCACCTATGTACCACACCCTCAGTCCATTCAAACAAGCAGGGGAAACAGGCTGCTCTTCTCATTGTGCCATCGCCACCCACAGCAGCAGCAGCAGCAGCAAGCAACCAAAGAGTTTCCGTTCCTTCCAGGCACGCGTTGTACCCGCTACTGCTTAGCGGCTTGGTTCCGTAAGCAGATTTTCGTTGCTTAGCTGCAACTCTAATGGCACACTCTGCGTCCTACTTGCGCATCCCCGCGCCGCGAGCTTGCATCCAAGCCGCAGCGAGGCCGAGCGATTGCGTCTCCTGCGATGGCTGCATCCGGCCTCCTAGCTTCTGCGCATCTTCGGCTTCTGTTGCATTCGGTGCATCTGGTCAATCCAGCGCGGCGTTGTTGTTTTCACCTGCGCTTCGACCGACGCGCGACGGACAGCGCCGTCACGCGAGGTTGAGCCTGGATTCGTCGCGAGGCTCGCGTCACCTGGTTTGTCGAAACGCGCTGCTAGAAGACGAATCGGACGGGGAAAGGTGCGACGAGGGGAAATGGTGAGACGAGGGGAAATGGTGAGACGGCGGATAGCGTCAGTGGGTTAACACAGTCAAAATGCTTCCAGCCTGCGTCGCCTGGTTCGTCGAAACGCGCTGCTGGAAGACTAATCGGACGGGGACATGGTGAGACGACGGGAAGCGACCACTTAGTCGACTGGAAAAGTCAATGGGACGGACGGGGAAAGGTGCGGCGACGGGAAGCGTCAGTGGGTTAACTCCGGTCAAGAAATTTGCAGCCTGCGGGTTAGCAAAACGAGTCGGACGGGGATTTGCGAGACGACGGGATTAATGTGATGTGATTAATGTGATGTGAGTGCGTCAGTAGGGACGAGAGATCGCCAGTGTGAATAGCGATCTCTGTGACGATCATTTGACGCACCAGCTCAGACATTACTGTCAACGAGAGCGGGAGTTGATTCCATGGATTTGATTTCGAGTGCTGTGACGCCTTGTCAGCCGCGCTGTGTCCATGCGTCCGTGCCCTTATTGCCTCCTTGCAGCACTCAGAATCGTCAGCACTCAAGAAAGCAGAACCAGCAGGCTCCAGCAGGAGCTGGCAGGAGACCATTGCTGATCGTCGCTGATACTCCTCACCCAACCAACCCCCTTCCCCCTCCCTCCTCCTCCCCTCTCTTCCCCCTTCCCCCCTTCCGCCCTCCCCCACCGTCGCTCTTATTCCCCCCTGCAGCGCCAAGGATTCGCCAGCGCTCAAGAAAGCAGTTCCAGGCCCCAAGCCGGGCAGCAGTCGGAGCTGACAGGAAACCACGGCTTCAGCTGCTGCTGTCGCTGATACTCCTTTCTCCTCCCCAACCCCACCCCCTTCCTCCCCTCCCCCCCCCCCTCCCCCCCCTCCTCCCCTTCCCCTCTCGTATTCCTCCCTGCAGCGCCAAGGATTCGCCAGCGCTCAAGAAGGCAGTGCCAGGCCCCAAGCCGGGTAGCAGCAGGAGCTGGCAGGAAACCACCGCTTCAGCCGCTGCTGTCGCTGCCCTTCTGGACAGCGCTACAGGCGGCAGCGTGGCAGAAAGTGGGGCGGAAACAGCTACAGCTGGTGCTATAGCCAGCGCGCCTGGTGCTGCGTCTGCAGGTGCTGCTGCTACAGCCGGTGCTGCTGGGGGCTCTGCTACAGCCGGGGCCTCAGCAGCGGCGGTTCTGGGCGAGTTCTGCATCATAGAGGGCCCGGACGCCCTGCAGGACTTTGCTCGCATGCAGCTGACGGAAATTAGGGATAATATCACATCTCGGAGGAACAGGATCTTCCTGCTGCTGGAAGAGGTGAGGCTCTGAAGCGGGACGAGAGGGGGTGTGTGTGAGTGCATCATCGAGGGTCCGGACGCCCTGCAGGACTTTGCGCGCATGCAGGTGAGGGAGATCAGATCAGAGACAGCATGCAGGTGAGGGAGATCAGATCAGAGACAGCATGCAGGTGAGGGAGATCAGATCAGAGACAGCATGCAGGTGAGGGAGATCAGATCAGAGACAGCATGCAGGTGAGGGAGATCAGATCAGAGACAGCATGCAGGTGAGGGAGATCAGATCAGAGACAGCATGCAGGTGAGGGAGATCAGATCAGAGACAGCATGACCTCAAGACGCAACCGCATCCTCCTGTTGCTGGAAGAGGTGAGGGAGTGGTACGGAGACGGGAGACGGTAAGAGGCGAGGGGGGAATGCAATAGATAAGCCGGACCGGCCTCCCTGCAGTGCAGGACTTTGGTCGCATCCAGCTGACGGAGATACGGGACAATATCACGCCCAGGAGGAACCGGATCCTCCTGCTGCTGAAAGAGGTGCGGCGGAGAGGGAGGGGGAAGGTAAGAGGTGAGTTTGGGTGAGTAAGGAGGGCCCGGAGCATACGCCCTGCAGTGCAGGACTGTGCTCGCATGCAGCTGACGGAGATACGGGATAACTTCACGTCTCGGCGGAACCGGATCTTCCTGCTGCTGGAGGAGGTGAGACTTTGAAGTGAGAGGAGAGGGGGTGTGAGCGAGTGCATCATGGAGGGCCCGGACGGGTGTTCGTCTGGGCCTCCTTCTGTCCCCCTTACAACCACAACCCTGCCTCTCCCCTGGGCCTCCTTCTGCCCCCCTTACAACCAGATTCGCCGGCTGCGCATTCAGCAGGAGATCAAGAACGCGGAGGAGAGCCGCAACAGGGCAGCAGCAGCCGCCGCCCGGGCGAGACTGGGGGGGCTCGGGGAGGAGGAGGAAGAGGAGATGCCCGAGTACCCCTCCTCCATCCCCTTCCTCCCTCCGCTTGTAAGTCTGCTTAGTGGTCATAAGCTAGAAACGCGTTGGTGCCTCCCCGCACGGGCGAGCCTGGGGGGGCTTGGGGAGGAGGAGGAAGAGGAGATGCCCAAGCACCCAAGCTCCATTCCTTCCTTTCCTCCCTCCGCTTGTGAGTTTAATTAGCGATGCTAAAAGCACGTTATTGCCGCCCGGGCGAGACTGGGAGGGCTCCCAGAGGAGGAGGAAGAGGAGATGCCCGACTCGAGTACCCCTCCTCCATCCCCTTCTGAGGCGCCTCTAAAGAAGTGCCATGCCACTTAGAGGTGCGTTATTGCTGCACGGGCGGCACAGGGAGGGCGGCCAGAGGAGGAGGAAGAGGAGATGCCGGACCCCTCCCTCGTCCATCCCTTTTCTTCCCCCCCTTGTGAGCCTTTTAGAATGATTTACGTACCCGTTCGTTACTGTCTTCCTCCCAACTCCCCAAGCCTTCCGCCCCCACCCCCCCCCCCCAAACACCCCCTTACCCCCCCACACTAACACAGAAAGCACGCACCCTTGTGGAGTACTATGCCGTGTGTAACTACATTTGCCTTCCTAGTTGTAGGTGATTTTTTAGAAATCTAAATAGAAAAAGAGTCGCGTTTTTTGTGAAGTACTTAACTTTTGAGACGTATCAGAGGCAAACTACTTGACCACAAAATCTACGTCACACTTGCATTCCTAGTGTAGCTGACCCGATCTTGCCTGGCTGTGTTGCACTCCCCACTTTCCCCTCCCCCCACCAACTCCCCCCCCGCTTTTTCTCCCCCTCTCTCACGAATGCAGAACACAAACACGTTGAAGAAGTACTGTAGCACGTCACGTTTTCCTGCTAGTGTAACTAGTTCTCATCTCGCCTGCGTCTACCACTTCCCTCCCCCCCCTTCCCCCCCCTCTCCGCCCTCCGCCCTCCGCCCTCCGCCTTCCGCCCTCCGCCCTCCGCCCCTTCCTCTCCCTCCCCTCCCCTCCTCCCCGCTACACCAGAAAACGAACACCCTCAAGGACTACTACGTCACGTTCGCCGTCCTCGTGGGCAGCCTCATCATCTTTGGCGGGCTCATCGCGCCCACTGTAAGGGGTTACTCATGCTGCTCGTGAGGTTTCATGGGATGAGGGAGCGAGAGGGGGGAACAGTGCTCATGGGATGAGGGAGCGAGAGGGGGGAACAGTGCTCATGGGATGAGGGAGCGAGAGGGGGGAACAGTGCTCATGGGATGCACTGCCGCTGACTGCCATGGGCAGCCTCATCGGCTTTGATGGCCTCATAGCGCCCACTGTAAGGGGGATGCACAGCGTGAGTGAAGTAGTGGGGAGCTGTTCAGGAGGGGGGAGAGGGGGGGGGGGGGAGGGAGGGGGAACAGTGTTCAAGGGATGCACTGCTGCTGCTTGCCATGGGGCAGACTCATCACCTTTGGCGGCCTCATAGTGCCTACTGTAAGTCATGCTACCCATGGGATGCACTGCTCATGGCATGCATTGCTTATTATCTTTGGTGGCCTCGTGGCTCCTACCCACTGGGAGTGGCATGCACTGTTCTGCTATGTTACCGTAAACGCGTTTAGCGTTTTAATCGAAGCTTTTAAACGATAAACACACCTTCTTTCTTGGGTTTCTAAACGCTACGGTAAACACACGTCCGGGCAGCTGAAATTTCCCCCCCGGGCAGCTTAAATTAACCGGGGAGAGGTAGGGGGAGGCAAGGGGATTATGCTACACAGCAGTTTTACTTTAAGTTTTTCCACACACAAATATATTTGACGCTGCAGATGCTGTAGGATTAGCGTCCGCGGCATAAGGGGGGTTCGACATGGGCGCGGCCCCTCAACTTCAAGCGAAATCAGGTGGCTACGGTGGGAGGTGTGAGAATAGCGACGAGAATAGGGTGGGATCCGAGCTACGGCTATGGCGTGCGGAATTTTAGGGTTTCCGTTCTTGACGGGGAA